ATAGATATAGATAGATAGAGAGAGAGAGAGAGAGAGAGAGAGAGAGAGAGAGAGGAGAGAGAGAGAGAGAGAGAGAGAGAGAAGAGAGAGAGAGAGAGAGAGGAGAGAGAGAGAGAGAGAGAGAGAGAGAGAGATATATATATATATATATATATATATATAGATACAGATATATATATATATATATGTATATATTATATATATAATATATATATATATATATATATATATATATATGTATATATATATATATATATGTATATGTATATATTATGCGTGTATCATTGGTACCGTAGTGGCTAACGCAGATGCGTTAACCACTACACTACGGCACCCCAGGGAAACATTATGTACCGCAGCATGAGCACGCCGTCGAACAGCAATGCTGGTATGCATAGGTAGCCCTCAGTGTATGCTGGCTACGGTCTCGCTCGGTGAAGCTGCCGTATTTTTTCTCACGGCATCCTGAGCATTATAACGGCCGGCAACGACGCTCGCACGCTCGCCCGCTCTCTCTCTCTCTCTCTCTCTCTCTCTCTCTCTCTCTCTCTCTCTCTCTCTCTCTCTCTCTCTCTCATCTCTCTCTCTCTCCTCCTCTCCTCTCCTCATCTCTCCTCTCTCTCTCTCTCTCTCTCTCTCTCTCTCTCTCTCTCTCTCTCTCTCTCCTCTCTCTCTCTCTCTCTCTCTCTCTCACACGATCAGACACCGGCCCGCTGTGATTGCCACGGCTAGTGACCGGGTTTGTTTGTTCCGGGTCGCCGGCCGCCCCGCCATCGCCGCCACCGCCGCCGCCTGGCTGTGTGGTCCGTACCGGCCGCTGGTGACGGCACGTCTGCCCGTTCCTCGGCGCGCAGCAGGGTCTGTACGGCGTCGTGCATAGATCTTGGATGACGAATTAGCCACGTTATAAGCGGGATCCAACGTGAATCCCACTTCATAGCGCCCGACCATATTCCTATGGCTCAATATCTAGTGGATGGATGGGGCTCTGCGCCATCTATGGGTCCACTATGAACCCCACCCACGCCCATACCTAATTTTTGTGTCACCCTGTCGGTTGGTTCGCAACCCCGAAAGATCTTAAGGAAAGACGAAAGCGCTCTCATGACCAGAGGTGGTAAGAGTGAGCTTTTTGTTGCCGACCAAATTTCTGGAGGAAAATTGTCGCCAGCGACGTCACGCGATATCATATGATAAAATGGTAATGAAGTTCATGCCCAGTGGAGTTGCCAGGTGTCAGCCTATCACCAAAAGCTTTTTTCAACACTGCAATTTTGGACATGCACACAACCAAAACGCTCAATCGGACACTGTCCTCCAACAAATGTCAGGATAAGCGCTACTGCTAGGAGAGCAGGAGCACCCGCCCCAGGCTGAGACAGCCCAATTACAGCAGGAGTTTTCTTCCTCTCTCGGAACTTCCCGGGGCCTCACGTTTTAACTAGATCTACGACTGGGTTTGTTTTCCTCGACCACAAAAAAGATACAACGAAGGACCTCGCTTGATAGCCAGGGCAGCAGAATGCATGGCAGACTTCAAACCAGTGGCAAACAGCATTGGGGGGTGACGTCCAATATTGCGGGCCTCCTCGAGGCCATGCCCCTTATGAAAATTACGTGTGCGCTTCGAGCCCCACCTCAATCGCCATCAAACCATCTACCATACCTTAAGCATGCTCCAAGCCTGGTGCGACATGTTTTGCCTGGTGGGCGCCTTTCACCGTACCCCAACAAGTAAATTGTATCGAAATTTGTTGATGACTTCACATCAGGCGGCTAGTTCTTTCCGATTACGATACTCGTTCAGAAAGGAGGGAGAGAAATGACGATGCGACCCCCCCCCCCCCCCCCCTACGGTTTTCTGAGGATATCAATGCGGCATATTGTGCCGTCTTGCTCAAATCTTCTTTTTCAAATCAAACCAAGTCAAAAGCCTGTGGGGCATTCATTGCATGCGTGTTGATATAAAAAGTCCCCCTACCAATTCTGGTTTCAAGAGAAGTGACGTTTTACGAGCACTGCAAGGTGATCCAAGGCCGGCGGGTGCGGCGGGCGGCATGCGACGATTCTGCGGACCGCGAAGATCTGCGCGGAAAATCTCCGCGTACTGCGGAGATTTTGGTCCCGCGGTCGTGCTATTCAGGCTCAGCAGCAGCTGGCGAAGGTTCAGCTCGTAGCCATGCAGCTGGCAGATGAACCAATGTACGGGTGACTCGGTGGACAGCTCAAACAGCCGGAACGCGCCGCCTGTCGTTCCGGTGTTGATGGCGGTGCCATCGCAGCCGAGCCCATTGGCGTGACCGTTGCACAGCAGGCTCACGAAGTAGCCCGCTGCGTCTCTTGCGCGCCAGATCTTCGTAGAATCTCCTATATTTGATTTTAAGCAGCCCGTCCGTCTCTGCTGTCTTGTTGGAAGGCGTTGATGATAGCAGCGGCGGCCCGGTTTGAGCCACCGTAGTTGTTAACCGCCAGAGAAATGTTAGATCTTTAGCGTTACGATCCACAGTGACAGTGGTCTCACCCGTAACGAACAATCGGCGTCGCCGCCACCTTTTACCATGCACGGAGCCGTGTGACAATCCGTTATCCGTTATCCGTTAACCGTTATCGCCCACACAAGCATATAAACTGCAAATCAACATCACAATGCTGCGTAAGCAATCACGATCTTGGGCTTAACCCGGTGTAAGAACCAGCTAGCGGATCTAAAAAAATGCTATGTATTTGAGCCACGCAGCACGTCACTCCGGCTGGCCTCCAACGGCGTATACAGCTCGGTACCCTGCCCTCCAAGTTACGCGTCCCCTCGCCGTTTTCCCTGCCCAACACTGCTGTCCCAAAAACGTTTTTTCCCGCTGCTCCTCGCCCCTTGCGCCCACTTCGCCGTTTTCGCCGCGCACCAGATGAAGGTTTCCCTTCATACCCGGTCTGCTGGAGCATTTTCATGATTGCACAGTGTAGATTTTTATAAAAAAAGTTATGCTTTTTATAAAAAGTAAACTTGTAACTGTTGAGCATTGTTTTGCTGGTGTCCGTCGTAATATCTATTTCATACTTAATCGGCCAGGTACCAGTAGTGAAGAAAGTGGTAAGACTGAGACTGGTTGGAGGGACCAATGCGCAAAATAGGTGGCGCTAGTATCGAATACGATTTTCCTGGCCTGCAGAAGAAAAACTGCTCTCGCATTACGAATATCGACTTTGATGCAGTGGGACAGACTTGAAAGTTTATTATTAATCCATGTGCCAAGGAAAAACTCTGTCTCAGTTGATTCCAGAGATTCACCCCCTCGATGACAGAGCTTAATGTGCATCCATGCAACATCATGCTTACAAGTGCAAAGAAAATATGCATATGAATGAATACTGCAGAATGAATGACTTCCAGAGCTTTCCTGTTACAGAAGGAGTGCTATCATCAGGAAAGAGCCAACATTGTCCTCAGAAGCAACCAAATGCCAGCCTTCCACTGACCTCATAGGACATTTGGACCACATTACCATAAAACTTCCTGCTATTGGAAGTAAAACCATCGGTGAAGGGGAGATGGCAATGCTACCTGTACCCCTCCCCCTCCTCATTTCCTACATTTGCTACACCACCCCATTTTTAACTTTTATTGCCTTCTCATGGCATACATCATTGGCTGTCATGCGAATTTCCAGCAACATGTTGCAAAAAAGGTTGAATAGTGAATGATTATTTAAATGCATCAAAACATTGATGAAATAACTGTATTTCGAGCAGAGGCATAATTTTTAAAGATAGGTTTGGGAAGCGGTGAAAACATATGCAATGGATCCTCAAAATATGGATGTCGCCTAGATATATAAATAAATATGGATGTCTCCCACTTCTTCACAAAACAGAGTTGAAGCCGCGAACTGAACTGAACTGAAGGGAAGAGGACTGGTCGCTTGTGTCCGCTACAGTGTGTCAACAGCCTTGTTGGTGTCTTAAAAGGCGATTGGGATAATCTCAGGTCAATTTCTAACTGGATCGGATCAGCCCGCTGACTAATCCTGAACTGTCAGTGCCTCTCGTCGCTGAGGACAAGATGCTGAATCGCGGCACCGTCAGCGACGTAAACCAGGCAAAAATTAAACTCTAGGCAGGCATTCAAGACACTGCAATGGGGATATTGCTTGTAAATTTGCAGTGCATTGAAAGTAACCGCCCACCTGATATTAGTCGCGTCGCAACGATTGAAACATGCCCTTGCGGGCAGATGAATCCGCATATCTGGATCTTTTTCAGCATTTTATGCCGTCAAACTCGGGACACTGTGAGTCGGGTGTTAAAAAAAAAACAAATCGGTCGAGCAGCCGGGCCATAGGAAATACCCTGATTTGTCGCCGATCTGTCGCCGAGTTGAGTGACCAACTAAAAATCTTAGGATATTTTGACACCGGGGTGGACTGAAACCTTGAAATGATACCATGGTGCCGTAGAGTACGACAAAGAGCATTTACGGAAACCTCTTTCGTCGCGGCGCAAAAAGCCGTTATGCAATCCTAAAAAGTCGTCATGCAAGTTTAGGCTCATTTGCGAGCGACATGGGTCAAAATATAATAAAAAGGTGGTATAGAGAAAGAATGAATTGGCCAGCACGCTCATGTAGTTTTCAACACTAAATAATGAATAGTTTTGACGGTAGTGGCTTGTATTCGGCGCCGAATTTTTAAAACTTTGCCCCCTGCTAATTGTATTGCAATTTGCAGCGCAACGGTGCGTTCCACAAACTCGCGATGCACGCTGAAAGCGTAGCCGCTTCAGTTGTGAATCTTAGGAAACAACATTCACGCCTGTACGCACACTGGGTGCCAAGATACAACCCAAAACATAAAAAACCATCAAAAGCAGCCAATTCTATCTTCTCAACACGTATGCACGTGCCGCGTACCACATGGTGCCACAAATTCACACCAGTTCGATAGCCCATTCCATTGCCTGTCCCACTAGGCAACTTTTGTGGCACTGCGACCCTTGGTTATCGAGATATGGCTCCGGTAAGCGAGCCATATCTTTTATCAGCCGTTAAGCTTTAGTAAATAATCCATGCAGTTTTTAGGAATCGGCCTTGGATGTGCATGATGGCCGCCGCAAAAACAACCCATTCGTTGTGAGTCGCCGAACTTGGACGGTCAGCTGGGTACTGACCAAAGGGGCTGTACCTGGAGTTGACCTTGCTTCCCTACACTCCCTGTCTTCCAGACCCAAAGCATTGATCGACTGCCGCCAGATGCCCACCATGAGGCCGCTGCTCTGCCTGCTGCTGTGCGGCTGGTGCGGCGCGGTGCCGCTGGTGTCGTCCTCTAGCGGCCGCCAGGGGGCGCCCCCGGCCGGTCGCCAGGTGGCGCCGAGTCAGCAGATCCTGGGCGAGCTACAGTACCTGTTCCGGCAGGCGGCTGCCGGTCAGCAGCCGCCCGCCGAGTACGGCGCCGCGCGCGAGGAGCTCGATCAGATGCTCGCAGGGCTGGACCAGCTGGCGGCCGTGGTACCGAGCGCACAGCACCAGCCGCCCGTCCAGCCCGCTGCGCCCACAATGACCACAGAGCAGCCTGCAGATAAGCCCATCATAGACCCAGGTATTGTGCACTATGATTCGATTCCATGTACCGCAACCAATGTGCTCCTTACAGATGCAGTTTCGATGCTCGATGCTCGTGACGAAATCTACGTTGGCCAGATATCTCGCAACGGATTTCGCTGAGCGGGCAGTACGCCACTTGATAATGTGTTGAATGTAGGATCAGGTCGAGCTACACACTAAACGTGTGGATCAAAATCTATGTTTCACTCACCTCGCCGACCTTGCCGTTAGTTGATTTACGCACGTTTCGAATGTTGTAAACCACTCGCCCAATAAATCGGTCATGACACCAGCAGGGGACGTGACGCATCTAAAAATGGATTGATCACATATGCAACTGGAATGGTCGCGGCTCATTAGCACACGCCGTGTGTGGTCCGCACCGTGTAGCGATGCGCAACGACAGTCGCAGCTCGAGGTTTGCGCGTCGCGCACGTGTGCAAGTCAGCTGAGCGTCGGGTCCACGCGCCGCAGGACTGTTCGTGATCCAGGGTGTGCAGACCTGCGGCGCCGGTGCCGGCTACTGCGTGCTCGGCTACAACTGCTCTTCCGACAACGACTTCGAGGACGATGCGAGCGGCCACTGCCACGGCTTGCGCACCGCCTTCACTCCGTCCGTCGAGTTCTCCTGCTGTCGCTTCGACGCGGAGCGCCGGCGCACGGCGACGCCGCGGCCCCACGCCCACCACGACAGAGGGCACCACCTTCGATGACGGTCTGGTCGACTCGATCGTCAACTTCGGCGACGAGATGCCGGAGGAGCCGCATGGCGAGAACAGCCAGATCGTCGACATCGTAGCCATCATCACGGACAGCACGGGCATTGTGGACATCGTGACGCGGCCTTACACGGGTCCCTGGCCGCCGAGCGAGGAGCAGGGTGGTGGCGCCGTTACGCTTCCGTTCGCTAAGCCGGGCGAGACGTTCGAGCCCGGCTCTATGGTCGGCCTCGGCCAGAACAACGTGAACCTGGGCACGACGTCGCTGCCGCCGGCGCCAGACGCATTCCAAGCGGGTGACCTGCCGCCGCCGGAGGAGGAGGCCTCGCTGCCGGCCGGCGCAGACGTGCTGCTCACCACGGCCGCCACCACGCCGGCCAGCGTGGCGACGAGCACGCCGCCAGGTGAGCCGAGTACGGCCGCGGCCGAGCCGCCGCCGCAGCAGCTGGGTCCGCTGGCCAACGTGCCCGTCATGGACCAGAACCTGGACTACATCGGCGACGTCGACTACGACCAGCACCTGCTGCCGGCGCTGATGCCAATCCGGCCCGGCACCAAAGCCGGCGGCGTGGAGGCGACGCTGGAGGGCAGCGGCGACGCGCCCGCGCCCGGCGACGACCTGCTGCCGCTGGCGGCTGACGTCGCCATCGAGGGCTCCGGCTCCGGGGCAGAGGCGGAGGCGGAGGCGGAAGCGATGCACGAGCAGGCGCCCGAGGAGTCGACCCCGGCACCGCAGATTCCGGCGGATGCAGTCACGGCAGAGCGCCCCGCAGGCGCCGTGACAGCCACGCCAGAGGAGGACGCCGCGCAGACCGGCGGTGCCTCGGGCTCCGGCGCTTCTGCGGAACGGCCCCCATCGACACAGCCCGCCGCGGAACTGGAGGAGTTCAAAGCCGGGAGTGCCCAGGAGGCAGAGCTGAAGGCGCCGCCGCAGAACGCGCACGGCTCTGTGGCGCTGAGCGCGGCCATGGGCAGCCTCTCCACGTCCGTCCGCCCGCCAGTCTGCGGCATGATGGGCTCGTCACTCGCCAGTCTGCTGGCGCGCAGTCGATACGTGAGTATCAGGGGAGGCCTGGCGACGGCTCCGCCAACGGCTCAGCATCGCCTGATGCCATGGATTGGACTCATGTATACTGTCATATTGCTTATCATACGCTTCATGGCATGTACTTTCTTTAATGCCAAAAAACCTATTTAATGACACCTGTAGCAACAAGATGTCATTGCCTGTTGGTTGCAAGATTTCGAGTTCGAAGGTCACCCAGTTGTGGTTCAGTTTCCCTTGCTGAAATCTGATCGCGCCCGCAGTGCGTCGTACTAAAACTGTCACGTCATCTCCCATACAGCAGTAACATCCCAAGGATGGCTCAAATCGACCGTGAATCCTTCTTATCGCATCAGAAGCATCCCAGTGCAAAGCACATGCGTAACCCCAGTAACCCCAGTAACCCCGCTGCCGCAACCCCAGGTCCAGCCATGGGCCTGTCGCTACGTACGTGGCGCGGATGTGGTCGAGCCCCGCCGACTGACGCTCCGTGCGACCGGCAGCGCCACCGCGGCGCCGACAGCGGCGCACCGCGGCTCGGCGGCGAGGTGACCAGCACGGTGGTCTGGTGCTGGATGGCGGCCGTCCTGCGGCGCACGCACGACCCCGACCAGCCGTACCGCTTCGTGTGCGCCGGCTCGCTGGTGGAGCGCGACCTGGTACTAACCACGGCCAGCTGCGCCTCCAGGTGCGGTGAGATGTGGCGTGTCACTGTGGCGCCGCCGGCTGTTGGCTCGGGCGCAGGTGTGAGGCCTGTGTTTGTCACTGTCTCTCAATGTGCTCTTTGTTGGCACCGTCAGCATCAACTCGTTCCCTACAGCCGGTATACAAGGCTGATACATTGTGTCTGATTAGGAAATGGAATGTTGAAGTTTGCGAACTTAAGGGGACGTAGCGAACGTGCAAAAGCTGTATTGCAGCCCATAGTATGTTTCAGATGGACGGGCCTGGTCCATGAGTGGGGAGTGGCGAGTTTGAGAATTTTTATTGATGGCACTATGTATTCCTGCGGACAGGCTGTTCAAGGAACCACTGCGGGACTTTGTGGTCCTGCTGGGCGCCTCCAATCTCCGTGTGAGCCTCGAGTTTGGCGTACAACACATGGAGCTGCAGGAGATCATCATTCACGAGGATTATCAGATAGATAGTGATGTTCACTCCAACGACATTGGTAAGCTCAACAGTATCGGATCTCGCTCTTTTTCCCGCTCGCAACTCTTCCTAACCTCATTTCCGAGCTGTCAAACGCTGCAGTGCAACCTTTTGTCAACTGCAGGCCATGGGTTGACTGAGGCGCAGTATGCTCCTCACCGATATAGATTTACTGCAAAGTCATTCGTAGTGTCATTCAAACATGCACATCTGGTGGCGACTGCAAAGTAACCATGTGCGTCCTGGGTGGCTGTGCTTTACAAGAGTAAACCTTGCCTCATGACATCACTGCATCGCCCGTGTCGTCTGACGTCCTCCCAAAGTTCCGTCACCCGGTGTCAGTGTAAGCCCCTCCCTCAGGTGCCTACATCGCCCGTGTCGTCCGACATCCTCCCAAAGTTCCGTCACCCGGTGCCACTGTAAGCCCACATCAAGTGCCTACATCACCCGTGTCGTCCGACATCCTCTCACAGCTCCGTCACCAGGTGCCACTGTAAGCACCTCCCTCAGATGCCTACACCGCCCCTGTCGCCTGTCATCCTTCCACAGCTCCGTCACCCGGTGCCACTGTAAGCACCTCCCTCAAATGCCTACACCGCCCCTGTCGCCTGTCATGGCCACTGAGCGCGCGTCCGCGCCTGTCCGCAGGCCTGCTGAAGCTGTCGCGGCCGGCGACCCTGGATCGGACCGTGTGCCTGCTCTGCCTGCCGCCCGAGGGCATGGAGCTGACGGCTCGCCAGAGCTGCTCGGTCACTGGCTACGGCCTGGCCGAGGCCCAGGAGGTGACGGCGGACGCCGAGCAAGGTACGCGTGTTCTCCTGAGCCCAGCGCAGCCCGCTGCCGGCTGGTGACCCGGCGCACCGATGTGACGCACACTGGGTCATACTGTTTGCCGAACCGCGCCGGACGAAAGGACTCCTGCGGTTTCCACTAAATCTCTGTTCTCCTGCCAGTCAATTGTTTACGCATGGATGAGCTAATCTGTTTGTTTATTATTGATGTGGTTTGATTATTTATGTGATAAAATGAAGCCAAAAATAAGATGACGCTGTAATTACTACATTTCAATCAGACCGCTTGTTTATAAGTTTTCACCCCACTCTGAAGACTGTGTATGCTAAGCCATGTGTTATTAACCTCTGCTTTGGTCGCGTAAGGGCATGATTTCGCTATGGTTTATTTATCGGATATAACTGTTGACGTCACCAATCGTCTACGACGCAATTCGCAAACTTAATTGTTGATTAAGACTAAACAGTAAGCCTCTGCAAACACAAGTTGGGAAAGATAAACTAAATAGTCATGAGCTTCTTGTTACTGCATTGCTCTGTGCGTGCAAGCTGCGAAATCTATTGGGATACTTAATGCCTTCAGTAATAACAAATGCAGATCGGGGTATACGGCTTCCGCTTGCTCCCAGACCAGGACTGACTTAAGCCTATGCTGCCCCCGCTAGTGCTGTGCCGGTGGGGTCTCCCAGCGTCACCGGCTGTGTCAGACCTCACGGCCTCCGCCTCTCGCCCCACCAACCCGCTGGAACCGCCCCTGACCCGAGCGTCGGCCGCGCCGCAGACTCGCCTCTAGAGACGCCCGGGGTGCTGCGACAGACCTCGATGCCGGTGCTGCCACGCGCCGAGTGTGGCGCCGTGCAGCGACTGGCGCTGCGCCGACCGGCGCTGGACGACCGCGACTTCCTCTGCGCCGGCGGCCAGCGCTCGGCCGACGCCTGCTACGTGAGTGGGGGGAGGCGGAGCGGGTCCCTGAGTCTCACCGGGGGGGGGGGGAGTCCCCGGGTCTCACCGGGGGAGGGACCGCGAGGGTCCCCGGGCCTCACCGGGGAAGGGGGCGGAGAGGGTCCCTGGGTCTCACAGGAGGGGGAGGCGGAACGGGTCCCCGGGGCTCGCCGGGGGGGGGGGGGGGAGGAGAGGAGCTCGCTAAGGGGCCGCAGGGGCATGCTGACTGATCCCAGGAGTCCCCTAAGAGACCTGGGACTTACTGATTAGACGGAGCCATCCGAGAGGCACAGGCGTTCACTGCAAGGAGAAGCCTCCCGAGGAACCGCCGAGGGAAGAGCTGTCTCCGGGACCAGCTGAGGGGCACCGGGGTTCACTGACGGGAGAGGCCTCCCAAGGAACCGCCGAGGGAAGAGGTACCTCCGGACCAGCTGAGGGGCACCGGGGTTCACTGACAGGAGAGGCCTCCCAAGGAACCGCCGAGGGAAGAGGTACCTCCGGACCAGCTCAGAGGCACTGGGGTTCACTGACGGGAGAGGCCTCCTAAGGAACCGCCGAGGGAAGAGGTACCTCCGGACCAGCTGAGGAGCACCGGGGTTCACTGACAGGAGAGGCCTCCTAAGGAACCGCCGAGGGAAGAGGTACCTCCGGACCAGCTGAGGGGCACCGGGGTTCACTGACAGGAGAGGCCTCCTAATGAACCGCCGAGGGAAGAGGTACCTCCGGACCAGCTGAGGGGCACCGGGGTTCACTGACGGGAGAGGCCTCCTAAGGAACCGCCGAGGGAAGAGGTACCTCCGGACCAGCTGAGGAGCACCGGGGTTCACTGACAGGAGAGGCCTCCTAAGGAACCGCCGAGGGAAGAGGTACCTCCGGACCAGCTGAGAGGCACTGGGGTTCACTGACGGGAGAGGCCTCCTAAGGAACCGCCGAGGGAAGAGGTACCTCCGGACCAGCTGAGAGGCACTGGGGTTCACTGACAGGAGAGGCCTCCTAATGAACCGCCGAGGGAAGAGGGACCTCCGGGACGACCAGCTGAGGAACATTGGAGTTCACTGACAGGAGAGGGGGTCCCGGTGATCCGCGGACGGCACAGATATCACAGCAGTCTTCACGCTTTTCAGGGGCCTCCAGTCCGCGCGCGAGTTCCGAGTTTATCAAACAGCACATGACACTACAGGAGAGCATCCCTCACGGGAACTATCACGAGCCGGTCATTGGTCACGATGCGACGGCCTGCAAGGGAGATCTAGCCCACGACTCAGCCGACGCGGCTGCCGAGCAACAGGCGGCAGTAACGGAGACACGCACACGGCGACGGCTATAGCTGACGTCCAAAGATGCTTGTCCGGGCGCTGTAAGATATTGTTCTTCGATCTCGTGAGCCGTTGGTCGACATTGGTCTCAGAGGCTGGTTGACTCGATGAGGGCTCACAGGGGCTCACTGAAAGGAAAGAAGCAAGGTCACGCTTGAGGTTTGTCGCGCAGGGTTATGTAAATAGTGTTGCAAATGGCCGCGTGGTAGTGGTTATGTTAACAGTCGAACTGCATTCGGATTGTGTTGATTTCATGCAAGCTGGACACATGGTCCGTGTCGGTGAGCGACCTGGACCTCTGACCTCGCTGGGGTTGACGGGGTCACAGGGGTCAGACTTGGTGGGTTTTCAGGGTCACAGGGCAGAACGCGACCGGGATCATCCCAACTGACCCTCATAAGTTGATGATATGAGTTGTACAGTTTAATAACAGCTAAAGACAATGTATTGTAACATTCCATGGAACTGACGTGATGGGGTCGTCTTGTCTGTTCGGGCCGCTAGCCTCTTCTGCTGTGCTTGGGGCCTGCCGTCGGTGCCAGCATGGCCGAATTACCTCTGCTTTACGGCATGGCCGAATTACCGCTGGTTTACGACACGCTAAATTGCGCTAATTTGTGGCAAGGTTTCCCATGTAAATTCAGTTATAATTGTCACTCTCGTTCCTATACAGGCCTCTCAGATTAGCGCGTCACTTCGACCTGAAAAAAATGCTTCATCTTAATCATTGTCTCGTAGTGATGCGACTTTTACGGATTTTGTGTGACAACAGGTCGTTAACAGCTTGTTAATATTTTGTTGATAATAATACAAATATGTCACTAACAGATTTTGTATATTTGCAAGTAGTACGAGGTCTGATGCAACAATCAGCCAATCCCTGGGCAAGGTGGCTTGGCTGGCTGATGATTCTATTCATGTAATACGGTTCATCGATTGCGCTCCGGCCTTAAGAATGGCGATTGGCTCTTTGTGAACGTTGGCTATAACCGCCGGTGTGTGGGTGTTCGGGCGCTGCCGCTGCTTACGGTACGACAAACGCTTCGGCTGAGTCGGACACACACACACACACACACACACACACATGCGCGCGCGCGCGCACCCTTTATATGATACAAGCCGATTTATCAGCCACCTGCACCGTGCCGGCCTGACCTCTCGAGGCCGGTCGATTGACGTGCCCGGTGTTTCAGATCGCACGTGACGGCGGTAGTCCACTGGCCTGCATGGCCGCCTCCGGTCGTTACTACCTGTACGGCGTCGTCTCATGGGCCGCCGACTGCGACGACGACGCCGAGCCGCAGATGTACACCAGCGTTGCCAACTACTTCACCTGGATCCGACGCAACTACGAGCGCATGACGATGAAGTTCAGCCTGCGCTCGGACGCCAGATGAAGCGGCACGTACCGGCGCCGATGCTCGAGGGTGGCCGCGCTGTTCGGGTCCATGGGCACAGGTGGGGTGGAGCTGGCCCGCGGGCGGGGACGGGGACAGTGAGGCGCACGCTTCCCTCCCGCTGCACAGCCGGGCCGAGCAATAGACCGATCCGAAAAGGCTGAGAACGTCGTCCGTGAGCGCGCGTGGCCGTGAGGGTTCGACCCGACACCGAGAGCGCCTCGCCGGGCTTCCTCCCGCGCTGCAGTGATCGTCGTCCGGGGCCGGAAGGCGCGGCCAATCACAGCTCACAGCAGCGGCGACCGGTACACGGGGTGACCAGTCTGCCCGCGGCTCGCACTCCAGCGCTAGAGCATGCAGCGGCTCTGGCAGCCGGCCAGCGGCGCGCGCCGCCGCCGCTGCGGCGCCCGAGCGGCCGCCCGCGCGCGTGGTCCCGGGTCCCACGGCAGCGGCTCGGACCGTTCGTCCCCGCCAGGCAGTGAGCGTGATGTCGCGATTGCTGGTGGTTCCGGGGCATTATGTCCGTCGGCATTAGCGCGCCTGCCAAAGACGCCGCGGTCGATCGATCGCCATGTGTTGTAGGCTAACAAGCTCATTGTTAAGCGACGTCAGTTTTTAGCGTTATTTGTGGCTGATCGCTGCAACCTTCCTTCCTTTCCGCTCATTCGAAATAAAAAATACCTCGATGCGGAAAACGTACGCTATGATGCTGGAAAGCTCAAGGCTCAACGCATTCCGCGACTGGTTAAATTACTGAGCGCTGGCCCAGACACACAGTCAGAACCCTCCAAATGTATTCACAACATCAGGGCACATACATGCACATCCCGTCAACGCCCAACGATCGCCATGGCACAAGCCAGTGATGTAAAAGCCGCCGGCAACATAACGCACGCGCGCGGGCTGCCAGCACGCGGGCCGGCCCGGCGAGTGTTGCGCCGATTATCATAAATAGTAAAATAGCTGGGGACAGAAAATACCGCACAAAATAGAGGCTCTGCGAGCCACGTCGCATCAGATCTGAGCGTGTCCACACTTATTGTACATAAAAGTCAATGGTGTCGGCGCCAACAACAGCCGCGTTCACCTCAACAACAACAAATCCCGCACAGCGCGCCTTGAACTCATACAACATGATTAACGACAGCTGATTGTCCCTCCCCCTCTATACACACAACATGGCGTCCCGCGGTGAGCGAGCGCCGGCACCAAGCTCTGCACGCGGCGGGGCGGGGCGGGGCGGGGCGGGGGCGGCGAGCCGGTGAGCGTGGCGTGGTCCCTCTGGCAGCGTCGGTCGCCGGCCGGCCGACTCAGCCCGAGCAGTCATCCGCATGACTGTCCCACGCTGCCACCTGCCGGCGGAGGCCGGGGCGTCAGACGGCCGGCACGGCAGGCCGCAGCGCGCGCCGGCGCGGCCCAACGGCAGAGCTCCCACCGGTGCCAGCGCCCGGAACGAGATACATCACAGTCGACACGGCCCTGCAAAACATCATGACCCCGCTTCCGCCGAGAGGCGCACAGTCGACGCCTAAAACGAGAAAACCCCGCCAGCAGTTTCCGGATCACCCAGCACCCGACACAGCCGGTGAGCAGCGCCACTAGAGTCCTTCCTGCCGTGGCCAGCCCCGAGACCAAACTGCGTACCTGACACTCGCGGGAGCAATACCACTGATTGCCGCAGCCGGCGCACACAAACTGCGCCGGCCGTATGCGGCAGCCCTGGCAGAGCGGCACGTCTTCAGCCGCCGCCGGCGGCGGCGGCGGCGGCAGCGGCGGGGCGGAGGTCCGCAGCGGCTGCTGCTGCGACGCTGCCGCCGGCGACGGTGCCGGCGCGGAAACTCGCGGCCCAGCCGCCGCAGGCCGGACCAACATCTGTGGCTGCTGGAACACGGCGGCCGTCAGCTGCGAGAGCGGCCGCAGCTGTCGACATCAGGCGTACTCAGACACTGCAGCTGACATCAGGCGTAGTCAGACACTGCAACCGTCGGCATCAGGAGTACTCAGGCCTTGCAGCTGACATCAGGCGTACTCAGACACGCGCCCGCGACGACCAGCACCGCCGGCCGGACGTCGGGTACGGCACACGTGAGACGCGGCGGCACGGACGGATTCGAGGCGGACGCAGAAGTCGGGCCACGGAGCAACTGTAAACGAACATGACGGCCAGCCTACCTGGCCGCTACAACTAAGCACACCCGCCAGGGAAGAGGCGGTCAGACAAGAGCACACCGGTCCGGGAGCATGACAAGAGAAAAGCAGCAAACCAGGTGAATCACCAAAACAGGGGGGAACAACGCATTTAGAGTAAAGCACAAGTAACGAAGCACACCACACCTAAAACGGGGCACAAAACAAGTTCAGAACACCCACGCAGACGCATCACGTACAAGGAACACGCACACTCATGGCGGGCTACAGCACCGGGCGCCCAACACGGATCACCGCGAACAGGTCACAAGGCATTATAGGGGCTCGATGGGTGACGTCACTATCACCATAATGTCCGAACAACCCAGCCTGGTCTGAAGCTGGCTCTCTTTCAAGACAAGTAAGCAAGACATCCCCATGCAAAACGAATTTCAAATCTAGAAACATCGACCCGCTATGCGTTTTACCGCCAACCTGAACAGCGGACCACCTGAACTGCAGTCCGGAGAGCATCCCCTGGCCAGCCAATCATCCGGCCGCAGCTCCCCGCGTCTCCCGCGCAGCACCACCCCGCAAATCACCTTCAGCATCTCGTTGAGCATAGCAGGCTCCCCCTGCTTCATCTTGGACTCCATGAGCAGCTTGGCGAGGCTGGACTGTGGCTGTCCGGCCGCGGCCGCGTCCGAAGCGCCGGGCGGCTGCTGCGGCGGCGGCGGTGGCGCACCCACGTGGTGGATCGTCACCTCGCCCGCCGAGCTGGGCGCCGACGCCACGCCGGGCGGCTTGCTCAGTTTGGAGATCTGCGCCAGCATCTCGCGGTACTGCGGGTCCTGCGGCACGGCCCCTAGCTCCGCCGGCGGCCGGCGCCGGAAAAGGGCGGCGTCAGGCGGCGCGCATCCCCCCGCGTGGTGCCGCTCGATCAGGTGTTGCACGCTGATGGTCGGCCCCTGCGGGCCCATGCCGGTGCGAACGCCGCCACCGCTAAATTGCGGCACCAGCGCTGGGCGGATGGGCCGCAGGCCCAGGCCCGGCTGCGGCGCCAGCGCCGCCCGCTGCTGCTGCTGCTGCTGCTGCTGTTGTTGCTGCTGCTGCTGCTGCTGTTGTTGTTGCTGCTGCTGTTGCTGTTGTTGCTGCTGCTGTTGCTGTTGCTGTTGCTGCTGCTGTTGCTGTCGTTGCTGCTGTTGTTGCTGCTGTTGCTGTTGCTGCTGCTGCTGCTTTTGCTGCTGCAGCTGGGCCTGCGCCAGTGTCAGGCTGACAGACGAGATGGGCGTGGCGGCCGGCACGGCGACGGCGGCGGCGGCAACGGCGGCGGAGGCGGCTGGCGAGGCGGAAGGCGCGCGGTGCGCCTGCCCCGACGCCTCATCACTTTGCTGCATCAGCAGCACTTCTCGCTTACGCCGAAGCCGCTGGAACGTCTCCTCCTTGGCCTTGCGCAGCTTGAGCAGGTTGTCCCACTCCTTCTCCTTCTGGCGGGCCAGCAGGTCGATGGCCTTGACCTCCCGCTTCAGCTTGTGCAGCGACGCCTCGATGAGCTCAACAGTGCGAAGGCAGCTGAGGTCGGGCGTGAGAGGCGTGGCGCGCTCGCTCGACTCCAGACGCGCCTTCTTAGCCGTGCCCTCGTCCGCCACCTCGCTGCTTCGCTTGCGGATAACGGCCACGTGGCCGGACGGCGGCGGCTGCGGCGGCGTCGAGGGTGGCGAGCCGTCGAGCCGAGGAGGCTCCGCCTCGGCGGCGCCGGCCGCTGGCGAAACGCGGCCGTTCTCCACCGGTGCGGCCGTGTCCACGGCTACCGAGAACACAGACAGGTGTGTGTAGGTAACACAGGGGGGCGGAGCCGACCGACAAGCGCCAGTCCCGGCGACCATCGACCTCGGTTACCCAGCCGATTTCGGGTGTCCGGTCAGCCGGGCGCGAGTGTCTGGTATGGACGCCACGTCACCGCTCGCAACGTGCAACGCGGGAGACTTGCAAACAACGCACTGAACATGGAGGGACCAGCCGCCAAATACTTCCGAAAGCATCATAAAACTTAGGAAGCTTTAGGCTATTCATTTTCCTGATCCATTCATTCACCGTGAGTTCGTGACACTACTATGCACAAATCAAGTAGATTTCACTTTAATCTCTGTACGAAAATCTTTCCCGCTCCACTCTGTTTATTTACAAACAAATTCATAGCCTCATTGAGACTATGAAATATACAAAAAAGAAAGGTTATTTGGGATCTCTGTACATATTGTTATAAAATAAATGTTCATTCACTGAAGACCCATTCATATGCAAGCTACACAAGTGTCAAATGATTGGAATAAAGCTCGAGTGATTTCATGATTTTTCTTTTGGGGGGGGGGGGGCAAACTATGGCATTCAGAAGCAAATTATAACATTTGCACAGTATTAATAAAGGGAGCCCCAGTAATGGTCCAGGTATCAATAACAAGTGACATTCTAAGATTGTTGTCAGACTGAGCACTCAAAATTTGAAGGTGATGAACCACTTAACTGGTGAAAATAATATTTACCTACAATTGAAATAAATATGTTCCATTAGGAGCCAACAAAAAAGTACAACTGACCATTCAAGACCTTAGAATTAACACCAGTTAGATTTTCAATTCAAAAGCAGGAAATTTAACACCATGGACCACAATGCTCTTCAAGTCAGCAGGGGTTCTAGGAATGTCCTGGTGTCAGTGGACTGTTACATAACTGGTGGACATAGGACTGTTGAAACACCATGAGCTGTGGTGAAGTCTGTGGGAGTCAGCAGTCTGATGGGTCCTGGAGGCCCAGGGCACCAGCATGATCAAAGTGTGACACACAACCATCACATTACCTCCATGCTTGAAAACCTCAGAGCACCAATCTTGTCAAAAATATTTATTTGTCCAACAACACAAATATCAGCATACCAACCATGATATGCTCTATGATAAACATGATAATCTAACAAACATATCTATAACAAAGGCAAACTGCATTATTCAATTTAAAAACACAAAAGTCTGTGACAAGGTGATGCATGGATCACATTCAAGATGCAGAAATTAGCCAGCTATGCCAAAAAATTAAGGGTGAAAGTGGAAGCTGACTTGGAAAGGAATGAATGCATATCCAGAATTTATAGAGCTTGCAATGAAAACTCACCAGTATCCATATCCTGGGATGCATCATGTTTGTTTTCTGTTGGGATGCTTTCATCCTTGGAAGTTTTTGTCACCTTCTCACTGCCTTCCTCACTGTCACCAATACTGTCTGAATGCCCATTCTGCTTCAATTCAACTGCAACAGCTCCATCTTCTCCAGTGCCAGCAGTCATCATGGTACTGTAACAAGAAGACGGCTGTGTAAATTGTAGTACTATATGTGTATCATACAAAGTCATGCAAATGCAGAACTGTTCAATGGAGCTCACTTGGCTATTGATACTGTTCCTGCAGGAAGATAGCTCAGCAATGAAGTACTATCAGGTTATAATGTATGCAGAACATTTTAATGGCCATGAGAGCATTATAATGGCCATAACACTCTTATGTCATTTCAAAGCTCAACAGTCATAATTGCTGCTCTGGTCCTACCCTTCTCATGTGATGTGACTACACATGACTGATGACTCTCATGCTCATGTCACTCATGTTGGGTAGTTCTAAATGATGTGATTATCAGCGGGGCTTCAAAACACACTTGCTGCGGAGGCTACACAGCATTGTTCAGCTCTCTCATTGGCAGAAAGGATGGCACCACTGTGAAGCAAACCCCAAGGTACTTCCAAACCATGAAGGAGAAATCTTAGGAACTAAAACTATAATGTGGCATTACTGGTAGATTCCAAGCTTTTTCAAGATCTGTCAGCACTTGATCATCTCCATAGCACAACAATGCCTCTTAAGGACACTTGCCAAAAAGATGATGTTAGTTAAAAACTACTCTGTGAATGATTTTCACAGCACACAGGCAAAACCGCCTGACGAACTTAGCTCCAGCACTTGATAACAGGATATTCTTGTGCTTATAATGAACCTGATTATCTGGAAGATAAATATTCCAGCACTCTTGACAAACTGCCTGGTGAGCCTGAGGCCACCAACAGCAGATTATTTTCTGCAGTTGATTTCTCCCACAGAAAGTTCCAATACATATGTTATGCTAGCTTGCAGCCTCTCTTACAACTTGTAGTGCTTGACACATTTTGTGACATATAACATCAACAACACATAGTTATGAATATTCACAAGTTGGTATTGATGTAACTTGGCTACCTCCTAATCTAGTATTGGATTCTGCTATGTCACATCAGCAACATAACTCTCACATTCTAGTACTTTTTAATTGATCACATATATGCTAAAACATCAAGGACAGGCACGCCATGTCAATAAATGACTGGGCTGACAGGGAGCACATCAAGGTTGATCTAGGATACCAATGCAGTGTTCATTCATAATATTCAGTGCATGCCAGACATGGACATGATGGCATCCATGCCATTATCTACAAATCATGTCTATCTACTGTGAGCATACTGTAAATACTGATTGAAAATACTAATCCACCTTCAGGCCATGTGACCTACCACTGAAAAGGCTAAAAATGGGCACCAAATATTGGTCACACCTGTATGTGCACTTGTCACAGCTACAACACCACATAAATATAACTTCAGGCCCTCCAAGAATCATGAAAGCCAGATGTCAATTTTACATGTGCAGCAAACAACACGGGAAGAAGGTTATCTGATCACGAAAATGAACATGAATTTCCACTCACAGGAACAAACATCACGTTATTTTTTTACACCTATCGCACTAACCGGCAGCCATATCCCGGATTATGCTCAACTCGAGAACCACCAACGTCGCCACGCGTCATAAACGCCCAACAATTCTCCAGCACATGAACACAAGCTGTGTACCACCAACCAAATAAAATGGGGTCAGAGCTGAATGAAAAACGCTCTGGACTCCATAATCAACACCGCATGGTCTGCCCTACCACCGAAAAGGACGACAGCCGGCCACCAGGCATTCCCGTCACCCAACGCACCTGCCATGCCCAACGACCGTGAGAGCACCGCATGTGTTGCCAGATAGAGTCGTTGGTCACGTTTCGTTACCAGATAGACAAAACTTTGGCGGTCAAAAAGGATTAAGGCGCCGGTGCTCAATGCCAAGTGGATGATGGCATAAGGCAGGTTTTATGGCCTTGACAAGATGACATTAAAGCAGGTTTAGAGCTGGATACAAAGGCGGGCTCAGTTTTTAGCAAATGAAGACCGCACGGGCGGTGGCGGCGAAACCTCTGTGGAAATGAGGGGGAGGAGGGCAAACGTTACCTGCACCTCGTTTCTGTCCATGTACCGCCATGGGGTCATGTTAGATGGCATCCGGAGCTGTCCCCCTTCCCGTCGACCTAATCCACCACGTCTGTGCATGCGCCGATGAAGTCAATACGCGGCTTTCTGAGTTCAAATGCAGAACCAAGGCAAGTGCCATTGCTTGGATAGAGGTCGCCAGTGGATAAAGTGGTCGGGCACGTGGGGATCGGCCGCACCAGGCTTCATTAAAAATTGGTCTGATCCTTGCATTTGGATATTAGAGCAAGCGCATTCCATACCCTTGTCAGACCAACTGGACACCGTTGTTTCAGTTCCGACAGCCTCGGTAATTTTGCGCCATTTTCCACATCCACTTTCCTCGCCGTTCTACGCCCACGATGGAGGCGTATCCATACGTACGTAGCCGCGACATGCAGCTCCGTGCCCAGACTTGCAAAGCCCGGATATCCTCCAGTCTTTTTGAGGGCTGGTATAACTACTGGGGGAAGAACGATATGACCCGAATTTTCCCAAGATGTGATTTCGACACCTCTAATTTTGTCCGCACAGCGCATGTTTTTCGCATTTTTTCCACTTAAGCGTACATTTTTGGGTCTGTGTTGGTGCAGATCCTCGTTTGACCAGATTAACCCCGATTTATCCCTTACCTCATACATCAGAAACTTGGCTGCACACACCAATGCCTTTGCGTCAAAACCAAGACTCAAGACTGCACGCCTTAAAAATTGCTTCATGTTTATAATATCTGCAGGGGTGCGATTTCCATTACTGGAATTAATTCCATATGGGAATTCCATAGACTGGAAGGGGAGAGAGTGCGAATTTTGTTACGGGGATAGGTAGCTTGTGGTCGGTTTTTGTGCCCCGTCACGCGCATCGGGGGTGAGAGTCGCATAGGGAGGAGACTGACATACAACAGCCACCGGCCATTAGCAGCCCAATACCACAAAAGACACAAACCTAAGCGTTACTCGATACACCTTGTGAAAAACGGAGGTGCTTATAAGGACACGCACAACCATGCGGACATGTACTACAGCCGTTAAACATACCCCAATAGAAAATGTCGAGGGAAGTCAGCGCAGCATGGCCTCCGCGGTGAGAACCACAATGAACTATTGCGACCACTTTCACAACACTCGTTTGGACAATCGGTAAACATTGCATTATCCTTTCATTTTTGCGTGCGATGTGGATATCGCACCGGTATTTACATAGAGCCTCGATACTGACGTCATTCAGTGACCTAGTTCCTTTCAGATCAAACCTAGAGTGGTCAAATTCACTTCTAGGTATCTTGTGAGAAAATCCTAAGCGCCCATGTCTTTCCGTTTATGATATATACTCTGTTAGATTCTGAACCTAACTAAACGTTGAAAGGCTTTCTTCACTTCGCCTGGCCAAAGGGTCTTGCTTTTTGGGACCATTTTCATGCAAGTTGGCAATCTAAATGCATCGCTCCACGAACAAAACTTTAGGAAGTCTGTGTGGTTCAAAAGTTTCTGACGTCTCCGTTTTGAGACGTTCCTCTCCTGGCAACACTTGTGAGAATAGCTGTACGCTTTGAGACGTTCCTCTCCCGGCAACACTCGTGAGAGTAGTTCTACACTTTGAGACGTTCCTCTCCCGGCAACACTCGTGAGAGTAGTTCTACACTTTGAGACGTTCCTCTCCCGGCAACACTCGTGAGAGTAGTTCTACAATTTCCCACAGCTGGAGAATGCGTCTTCCGTGTCGCAGTGTGTGTGGACGAAAGTGATCCGTTACATTATTGATGGCTACAACACGATGTCCAGGGGGATCGTTTCGCAAAATGGGTTGCAGGGGAATGAACAGCGAACAGCACGCAGCTTGCCTCCAAAAAATCTAACGAACGGGACTCTCCGCTTCTCCCCGGATTTAGCCCATTTTCTTCACAACGTTGGATGTGGGAGGGGGGAGGGTGGCTGGAGGTGACTAAGTTCATCCCCCTCCCCAGCTGAATACAAATCCACACCCCTGGCGACGTCGTTGACCCCCCCCCCCCCCTCTCCCCGAAGTAGTTAACCACAGCAAGCAACTCAATCAAAACATGGTTAAACTTCGATGACATGAGCGTGGCAGCTTCAGGTCGGAGCACCTGCGCTCGCTTGCGATTCGCTCCTGCACCGGCTGTATTATGCTAGCAGGCCTACGGGCAGCAGCATAGACCAAGGCGCAGGCCGGCTCACGGCCACCTCATGGCCGCCCAATACGTGGGCCATTGTGCAGCGGCTCGCCAGTGAAGGCCGTATTGCAAGCTCGCCACGCACCTGTAGCTTTTCAGGTAGCAACGAGCTTATTCTATCGAACAAGTTAGCTATTTGAGCAAGGGTGAGGGCTCCTAATCCAACAAAACTGGCCCCTTTGGTCACAATGGAAAAGATCGACATCACAAAACATCAATCCAGCCCAAAGGCTACATACCTTGTTGGGCATAAAGATTTAAGCTGAGAGGGCGCATTAGCATATGCATACGATCTAGCACAAATGTCCTCCTCGTCTGCAAGGCTAGGGCATCTGAGTTATTTCAAATTGCCTGATTATCTCAAACCAGTCTCAAAACCACATTGCTGCAATGAACTATATCGAGGCGTCCTGCACTGGGACTCGGATGTGAGGCGTGCGACCCTGGAGGAGAACTATAACGAACTGTTAATGATGCGTCTATGTTAGCGGGGCTTTCAGGCAAGCCCCTGACAGTATCGCTTGTGCCAGGCTACGGCGATGTCGCGCTGCTCGGCCGCAACAAGGCGGTGGTGATATGGCAATACAGTCAACAAAGAGAGTTGCCCCTACCGACGACGCCTCACCGGGTCTAGGTACTAGAATTACCGGTCGATGTTCTGAGGAGCAGCGGACGTCACCGATACAACCGCTAAAGGAATTGCTCGAGTCCTTCCACATATAAAAGGGCAAGGAGCCTACCAGTTCTCAGTTAGCCATTTCTCAACACTAGGTTACAAATACCTCAGTCGCGCAGCCGTTCACAAATGGTCATTGCCGGCCAGCGGATTTCAAGACGAGATTTTGTCAAATCCATGAGTACATCTAGTAGTTTCCATCTCAGGGCTGGCTTGGCTAGCGATCGCTTACCACACAGGGGCGGCACACGTCATGCCTGTTGCCATTGCATGCCATGCCAGAGAATGGCATAGTGCGCCACAATAATGATGCGCCATACCATCCCGAAAAAGGCATTGCAAATGCAATTTTAGGTTCTGAAAACACACCTTCTTTTACAGACCAAATTTGAGAACTTACCTCGCCACGCATGGACGTTTTTCTGAAAGGGCCCGCATAGTAACAAGCCTAATTTTCATGTTCACTTTTTATTACGCCTATTTTTGTGATATAAACAAGGTAATACACCGCAAAACAGAAATGCATCACATGAATCATTCCCATATTTGGTTCAAACACAAAGGCACACATCACAACCAGATGCATGTGACATGAGTTAAGCCAGTTTCTTGTATAAATGCAAACGACACTTTTTAAGCCAATATTTGGTTTTCACAAAAAACCTCACTCACAATCTTCAGTTCAGTTGAAGACAGAGACTGTGAGCCACCAGCGATGCCTGGGATTACAGCCGGCGAGCACCGAACTCAAGCGGGAGAGTCAAGAATCGCGTTGTGACGTCTGCTGATTTGGTCTTTAAGGTGTTCTATCCACTGTAAACCTGAACCGATCGAAGATTTTCCAGGGTCATCTCGAGGCATGGTCTGACAAGGCTGAAAGAATGAAGCTGTTTTCAACACCCCGGCGCCTTTTTGGCATCCACCAGCTTGTTGTTATCCTGATGGCCATGACTGAGGCGTTGAACACGGCACATGAGGCAAGATAACTCATCACTCACTACATCTTAACGTTTATAATGAATGACACACATGTCATTGGATGGGAGAGCATGACGATTTGACGGCACTAATGCTGAGCTGTAATTAATACGCTGTTTAAAGAGCCCCTTAATGCATTTTCACGTTGCATAATCTAGCTCTTCTCTGGTGCAATCTGCCCTTTAGTTTGCAATTAAGTAAAGCTGACCTACTTCTATTGAAGATCTTAAGAATCATTGTAAATATCTCAGAAGCCCACCAAAGGCCGTCACTGTACCAATACGACTCGCTAAAAGCTCTGCAGTTTTTTTTACCGGCGCTCTGTCGGCCTGCGGACTCAAAAGTATGTCTTATACACACGGTTATTGCCTATCTGGCGCACGGAATTGAAAACAAATGGGAGATCACATTGAGTTTTGTGCATGCGATATCAGCCTTGGACGGCATAGCAAAAGACAACAAATCCTGGAGGACCTTATGCAAGGCCTCTTACCCGACAGCTATATGTGAAGCGGTAACAAATCAATAACGCTCAACACATAAAGTAACCTCGAACAGTCAGTAGTATTCATGATGGCCGTCATAAAGATTTGTGACGGCTGCTAGTCTTTGAGGGCACTGGTCCAGACAGTTTTGGCGGTCGTGGTATATCCACGGTTCAATGAGTATGCCTGGCTGTGTGGTTGGTGAGCGCCTTGGAATCCCTTTCTCGTTTCAAGGACCCGCTGAACGTCCTCAAGGATGTCCCCCCTCCCCGCCACAGGAACCTTGGTCACCGGAAGACCCCCC